TGGATTATAAATATAACTTCGAAGCGATGAAATTACAGATTACAGACAAGTCGGCGGGCTGCATTTTGCCCTGGTTACTATCTAATAATGTGAACGATAAGCTGCCAAATTATTAATATAACCAAAAAACAACGAACCAAAATACAAAACAAAAACAGAACACAGCAGGACACCTTTAAGACAGGAAACCCGAAAACCCATATGGCACGTCCATGCAATACGAAAAGTAGCCGCTAATAAAGAATGTATTTAGCTTTGGTTAGAGTCACGCAAAGCGTGAACGATGATGCTTCGTAACCCTTTTCACGGCAGCGGGAGAAGCTGAAAGTTTTTCGCCAATGTAGTGTCTGTAGTGAGTCACGTTTCATAAGGGGACGGCGAGGGGTGGGGCGAAATAAAAGATAACGGAAGGTACGAAGCATGGCGATTTTTAAACACGCAATAATGAGCAAATGAACAACGCTACCTGCACTTCTTGGTCTTCTTTCTGTGCTACAACTCTATTACACGTCTACCTTTGACGGCAAAACAGTTCGTCCAGAGTAACTCCTGTTGATTTCTAACCCGAAGTCGTGTAAATTCCCCCTTTGCAGTCTCTAACAGTTTTTGTTCGGTGTACTATATTTAACAATTACATTACGTGCTCAAGATTTCGTCGACTATCGCGCGATGGTCGACCAGGGCGCAGCCCGAGTCAAAATCGAGAGCGAGTAATTGTTTAGGTATTTCATACCAGACGTTCAAATAATTATTTGAGTCCTCTTCACGGATACTCCGAATATGCAAAGAAGCGGCCGCCATTTTGTTAACAACCACACATTGCTAGCCTACGCACTTCCTTCAACAGATCTGATAAAGAGTTGGGTAGCTAGTAAGAGAACGGCACTGGTATTAGTGTACTAGTAGATTTATACTAAAATGCTATTGTCGCTTTCAGTAAAGAATATTTTTAACAGAAAATTACCGTTAATTAACTGTGATTGATGATCGTTATTTTCTTGCTTTCTCATAAAAAGCGACCTTACAGTAAAACACGTTGGCATCGACCGCCATGCCTCGTAAGCAAAAAATAAGGCATGTGTATTGCATATCGGTAAAAGATAATCGAATGTTTAATGTTGGTAATATTTTAACATGATAAGTCGCACAGATAAAAAAAACGTAACTTCAGTTACATTTGACGGCCTGGAATCTGAAAAACATAATGCGGCCGTGGCAAACGAGTTTAGGACATAGTTTAGGACACATTCTTTAGGATGGTCAATGTTAGGAGGACTGACAGAACTAGCTGGGACGTGACAGGATCACATAGCCACAAGTAATAATACCGGCTGTAAGGATGAAAGGAAAAAGATCAGCCAACGCCTTTAACTGAAATGAGCACAAAACAGCGATCGAGATCAACACAGGAACACAAACAGCCCTTTCGCTTCCTTGAAGTTGAAGATCATTATGTCAAACACGTCCGTAAAAATCCTTCCCGGACAATGCCGGACAGAATATGAAATTCTTTCAAGTTTACGTCCTTACCCAAACGTAGCGTTCAAAATTTTTAGCATGTGGAGCGGAAACAAAACATCACGAGTATTTTTTAGCCGGCTTTGGTCAGTTTAAAGGCATGTGACTCTGTTTACTGTGAACTGAAAAGACAGAGTAAAGCAAATGAAACATGCGCACCCCACATGTCACTGGCTTCCTTTCTAAGCTGTACAATATGTTTTTTTATGGAATGGCGAGCAGAATCTTGGCCAAGTTCAAGTCACCCGCGTATTCCTTTCTCTCTTTAGCTCCTTTTCCCCGCCCCTTCCCCTTCATTCACATCTAATTTGTCCGGCTTCACCTCTACTCCCGGCTTGGACTGTTTACTCGGAAGACACGCCCTCTCGGCCACAGGCAAAATTCTCGGCATAGGGTGATTATGATTATTTCGTTCGTGATTCAGCTCGATTAGCACGCTCTGACTAAGTACATAGCGCTGTTAAGGAAATTTACACGCTAGAAAAGGAAATTCAAATGACGACGCATAGCTTGTTTTTCTGCTAGTAACAAGGTCAGGTGTTGATCATCTACGGTATCCTCCTTCCAGTCACCCAATTTAAATAAATTAACAAACATCGAAAACAGCACAAGATATATATAGATTAACAAATCCACTATAGTGACCAACTATACAACTTGACGCAAACTCCACTGCAAGAAGGTCAAGACTCTCTTTCCGCTTAAAGCGACAAGGGGGTTTTTACCTAATCATAGAGAAGCAAACAATATCACTCCCAATACTGAAACTACAATTCTCTTGTGACTTAGCGACATCCTGTAGGGTTCCTACGCTTTTTCCGTTATATATTGATTGTCTAGACAAGAGATTTGATAGCAAGCTATGTTTAGACAAAAACACTCTCCGTCAAAACTAGCCCGGTTACGGCGACGGAGACAAAGTCCTACGCGTTCAGCTGAGGCGGACACGAACAATAGTTGAAAATTCCAATAATGAAAGAACAAGTACAGATCTTTGCTGATAAAGAGTCCTGCTTGTATTAAATGACTTTCTGAAAATATTTTAAGACTTTCCTGTGCTCCGGTATTGCTTAGTAAAACCGATATGGATCTTTAAAATACGATGCTTTAGAGTGTTGACTTGCCTGTAGTGGGGGAGTGAGTGGAGTTCGCATTTTCACCATACTTTTATCTACCAAAGGTGTAGGCAGCCTTCCTGAGGTTTAACTTGTTACAATAATTTTGGTTCAATTGATGTCTTATCTTACAACATGAAATATTGAAAGAATTTGAGCCGGAGGAAACTGCAGCCCTAATGAGAATTATATTCCGAAACTAAACTGCTCGTAGGCAGGGGCGAATAAACACACTTTAATTGCTTTATACGCTCTTTGTTCAACTTAAAAGCAGTGAACAACGAAGGGCTTGAAAATTTCTTGTACGTCGTCTCTAAGAATTAGACAACACCGAAAGAATATCTACGGGTTAACGATTTTTTTTCCATTTGAGAAAACAAAGCCAAACTTTAAAGAAAACTACTTGGTAATAAAAAAAATTGACGTTACTGTAGGTACCCGTCTGTCATTGAGAAATCTCGTTAAAACTTGTTAATTTATAAACCCACTTCATGGCATTGTAGACAATAAGGTTTTCGCGCCCTCCACACAGAGCGTCAAATACGTGAGCCAGAGCAAAAATAGCCTACGAACAGGCTCCCGGCGAGGACGGAAAAAAATTTTGGCGATCGCGAAACAGAAGAATTCGGAGAGCAAAGCGGCTTCCTTCGGGCTCACCGGGAGCCTGTTCGCAGGCTAGAGCAAAAAAGTTTAGCGCAGTCCCTTGAGCGATAAATTCCACTTTAGATTCGCTAACATGATTTTGAAACTTGATTTTTAAACTAGTCGGCGAAGATGCCGTTGCATTTTGCAAGCACTCAGCGAGTCTAATGGTTTTCTTACAACAGAAAAACAAAGTGATCTGTTTCACAATGTGACCGACCAACAATGATCACTGGTTTAATATCATTACAATGTCAAGTAGATGGGTAGCGGGTAGAATAAAGAAACTCAACCAGTTGCACAACCAAATTCTCAAGGCTCGCTTTAAAAGCCTGTAAGGCAATTAGTACGGAGACTTAAGAAACTGAGCTTAGGGAAAGCTGAGAGAGTTCAAGATGGCGGTCGACACGTTCACGTGATCCTTTGATGGATCTAAGTAATAAGAAAACTTCCTATTTTTAATCAGAGCTTTCTGAGAGAAAACTTCTGCTTACCTCCGTAAACTGTTATACCAGTACGAAGAAACCATATCGTAATCACGTTTAAATAAAACCTGATATAGTGCCTTGTTGACGTAAACAACTGAAAAATAAAGTTGATATTGTTCTTCGAGCGAATGCTATTCCAAAACGAAACATCTTGAAACCTTTTCAAAACGACTCAAGATCCTCTTTAAGCTTTGCTCTAAAGGTTAACCAGTCTATTTCCGTCAGTTTATCTGCTGGCTAACAACAGCACGCAACTTAAAAACCGTTTGTCTTATAATGTATCAAAATCATCATGGATGCAAAAAGAAGTTAAGGTCGTAAATTGACGATTTTGACAACAGGAAAAAAAAAAGAGACGGGAAAAAAACGAACTTTACACTCCACTTTCGTCGTCGATAAATCTTATCGCAGTTCACGAACAATATTTCAATCCGACGATTTCTTCAATTAACACGGCGCGAGCAACTAAAATCCTCCACAGAAACTAAGGATTATCCGTCTCGTTTTAATATCCAATTGTCACAAGACGGAACTCGTGCTGGCCTCAAAATCGCGCAACAAACTTGGAGACTGAAAACAGCGTAACACCATACAATAACTCTAAGCGGGTAAGGAAATCTCAAGTTGATATTATTTAAATGACTCACGCTGACGATTCCGGCAAAAATACAAACGCACTGGGTAAGCTTCGTGCGGGCAAATATCATCCTTTAGCGATCTATTTTCGAAAAAAAGACGTTTGGAGTGCAAGCGGAAGCACAGTGACCGAGCTGACCATTGAGGGCTGAGAAGAAACATCGAGTATCGAAATTAGACGCCTCCCACTTCCGTTTCCGACCAAATGCGCGATAAGAAAGTATCAGCACGTCAGATCACAGTGTTTTCTTTGTTATCACGAGGAAAAGAAACATTTAAGGCTCGCTAGCTCTGATCAATTTAGATCGCTCGCTGAAACATTTTCAAATATTCACGCCCAAAGGTCCGAGCCTAACGGTAACTAACAATGAGTGGGCCGCAAATGCTTTATATGCTGAGTGGGTTAGTGCGGGTTTTCAACGTGACCAAGAAAACTTGAGTCAGTGTTGGGTTAGTTTTGATCCAAAATCGCACAAGACTCGCTCATCGCCAACATCTTGGCAGGCGGTTCGATTTACTAACGCAAAAGAAGGAATGAAACAGCTACGCTAGTGAAGGAATGTTCCAAAACTATGACCAAGAAAATAACACGCACAAAACATATCCTGAAACACCCAGTTTTATTCAATTCCTTTCTGAGCGTTCCGCATAACTTCGACCTGAAGTAATAATAAGAGTCTTCAGAAAAGGAGCAATTTTACACACAATAGTCAAACAAGACAAAACTTAAATACAGAGATTAATAACTTCATAAATTATAATTATTTCTGCGCTTCATAATTTAACTATTTCTTTTTTACACTGCTGCATATTCGCAGATGATATGTATTTTTTTTGTAGGGTGAACCTGAATTCAAACGACGTCAAACAGATTTTTCAAAACAGACTAAATAATAAATAGATCAGTCAATGAAAGAACACTTGGGAAAACAAGAACATTTGATACCCTGAAATTGAATCGCGGGGATATTTTATAATCCATCAGTCATCCTATGATGTAAATAAAGATCCAAAAACTCTGATTTCAATTTTATGACTTAAGATAAATAGAATGACATGAAAACACAACGGCTGTCGTCATAAACGTAAGTTACATAACAAAAGTGCAGATAACGTATCCCCGCGCGCTATTAAATCAGATCACAACTGAGACACACACTGAGTCCTGTAAACGAAAAACTGTTTGAAACTTCTGTGAATTCGTATCTTCCATCCGGTAAATAAAATATTCGATTTCAACTCTTATAATAACTCGCACATAAAATACGGCTGTGTATTTTACAAAAATTACTTCAATGCTCTGACTTATGAAGTCAAAATGTTTCTAATCTGAAATATTAATTGATCCTGGTCTATTAAGGGTTAAATCTAAAGCGTTTCTGCGGTTTTTTCTTCTTCGCGCCCTTGGCGGCTTTCTTGCAGCCCACAGCAGGCAAATAGCAGCACAAGCAGGGAATGAATAGGGACAGAATAGCTAGGCAACCCCAGCGCGGCGCGCACGAACTGACGGGCCCCGCGCACGAACACGGCTCATCAGCGAGCTGTCCTTCATCGAAATTGTCTTTCGTACAGTGATAAAAGATACCTTTCACACAACACATACAACTGGCATAGTCTATGAGCTCGTCTGCTTCCACACCACACAAGAGGGGTTCCTGCTTCTCGTTTGTCCACTGAGAACAGTTCTCCACTCGTTCGCTTTTCATTGAGCTAGTGTCCACAAGTCGAGTCGTAGGTCGTGATGTCGGAGAGCTCGGCTGACTCTCGACTAGACTCGCTTTAGTCTTTGAATAATAACAATCCGAACAGAGTCTCCGTTCGAAGCTAGACAGTTTTGCGAGGCTATTCTTAGACTTTAAATCCACGGGCTGTGACCGAAGAGTTGATAACGGTATGGGAGGCGCTTTCGCAAGCGGTGAAAGTTCACAATACTCGTCGGCATCGTCCGCACTGTCAGAGCTACTTGAAAATTTTGTATTCGTTGTAGCGGGAGTTTTGTGACTCGCCATCGTCGGTTTTTCCGCACAATCGGCAACCTTAACAGGTACCTTTGACTGAATATTATGTCGCCGCAGTTGTTTGTACACTTTGGGGTCGATAACTTTAAAACTCGACCCGTGTCCAATAACAAATGGGTAATAGTCGTCCGCATCGCTCTCCTCTGTTACGCCGGTCGTAGGAAAGTTCGTCGTTAAACGCGGTAATTTATCGACCAAGGCGAAATTATTTCTGTCGTTCGTGCCGTGCATCATCTTGCCCAATCCTTCGTGTTTCATCGAGTATGACGAACTATAAGTCGTTCTGTGATCAAGTCTGTGTTGCCATACAGCGGTGTTCATGTGTCCCTCGGTGTTGGCCGGCCGCGCGACCGTCCTGTGCTGTCACTTTATTCAAACTGAACGCGTCCTACGTCGTGACTGTATTATAATGGGCCTGTCTTGCTTAGCTTGCGTGGCACTTCCGATTATCAGCTTGGGAAATTTAATGTTTCCTTTTATCAAATCTGCCAAAATACAGTTCCCGCGAATTTCCTATTAAACTGAGCAAAGAAACCTCCCCGACAGTGTTAATGTTTCCACAGACAAAGAGCGAGCAAGGATTCAGCCATCGTATGAATATTACCTCTCCGCGATATAAAGACCCTCGACAAGTTGAGAATAAATTTCTTGATGTACTCCTGGCTTTTCTTTCCACAGCTCTGAAGATTCAATTAACCCGCCAGCCGAAGATGTCCGGCGGAGTGATAAAATGTTTTCGAGAAGCACTCTAGTAAAGAAAAACTGGCTGTTTCACTACCCAAACACTTTCGTTCTCACCCCTTTGTCGTCCGTTGTTTTTGAGTAATTTATATTTAGCCGAGGTCGATTATTCTCTATTGTAATTCAAGCTTTAAAATCCCTCAAGTGATAAACTTGTTTTAGCGGAAATGATGGTATGCTATGGCGGGACTTAGTTCCGGTTCCACGAGTGAACGATCACCGACTTACGTAGGCACTGGTATCTCGCTCTCAAGTACAAAACTATAGCACACGGTTTGCGAGTTAATCGCAGCTTAAATGCGAGAAACAAAACCGATCGAGACACAAACAGAAACGTCAACGAGTCCCGATCTTCGAACGATGGCAGCCACAACAAAAGCTTTAGAGCCTCAAGTTTAATTTCCCGTTGCGAAAGATTAAAATGCAAATGGTGCCCTACATAAACACGACACAAAAGAAACCCACTCAAAACGGAAGTCCACACCCAGTCACTGATGACAAATGACAAGAGGCTTTAGAACTTCTTGTGCGCGGTATTATCTCTCATTGGTCGGCTTTGTCACGAACCACAAATCAACTTGATCACCCTCTAGGGAGGACGAGATTTGTTTTCTATCGACACGAATCCCGCGCTCTGTCAATCGCGTTCAATTTGGGCTGAGTGAATCAATAAAACGGAAAACGGCCGCAAATTAACTTGTGATGCGACAAAAGACAACATTTAACTGTTTTCTTTGCTGTTTTCCTTTCTAGGACTGCCCACGACTCAATCAATCAACCCTTAACATTTGTTTATGTTTTTGTTCCATTTACACGCGTTTCAATTTTCGGCGTTCATTTATTTTTTTTTTTTCGGGGTCTCCGAAATGTCACGTTGATTGAACTCTGTACATACACACTCGAGATGAGACGCTTACTTGTGACAGAGTACTTCAACGTTGTTTAGATTACGGTTGATATGTCTGTTGTGAAAACCATCAAGGTACAGCCTGTCAGCCCAAAATCAAAAGAAATGCAAAGTTGGCAGCAAAAGCTTCGAGATAATAGCCATGATTTGGGTAAATCGCTTCCTGTCGATCAACAGAACCACAACTGCAGCGACAGTACTTTTCCACTTGGTGGTTTTGGTATAAAAAGAGTGAATCAGAATGCGCAGGATATGGTAAGGTAGAGGCGCCGAGATGGCTGCTGTACCGGACACGTTGCTGGTATCATAATCAGACATCACAATTGTACACTTGCGAAAGTATGTTAGTACAACTGATTAGGAGATGGTTTACGAGACATTCTAATTTCGGAATAACTGACATAGACAAGAGTAAAACGGGTGCGGATTTTTCAATAAACAGTATTTCGTGAGTCGTTTTAAGTGTTCAGTTGTAGACCCAATATTGTAAATGACGTATTAAGAAAGTTTGAAGACAAATAGTTAATTGGCTAATGATTTTTCGTATACTTCATGGAGCAGATGTGCCGGCTTTGATAAAAAGCTTTCTTCAGTTGCTACTTAATGTAATGTCAGCATCAATACTATCGAAGACGCCTAATTGATGACTTTCGGTATTCTCATTAACTGCCCGCTGGAAAATGTCTTCAAACTATAACGAGAAAATACATGTTGATCATTCTAAGCATGCAAGTGGACAGTTGATAAACCGTTACCTAGCTTGACGTTCGAAAAATGCAACGAAAGCTGTTCGGCCATATCCAGTAATCTTGACGCTAAAACAGAAATAGAAAAGTAAGATGTCGTTATGTTCTCATGCAAAACTCCAAACAACCCGGCATCGATCCAAACCAAGCAAAAAAATTACAAAGAGATAACTTTTAGTAGTGTTATTGTTTGAAATCATTGTAATGGAAAAGGATGTTCGGTGCTGTTTCAACAGTCATTAATCATTGACTGGTCGGTCAGTTCAAGCATTCAGTTCAAGAGCTAGAAAATTCTTTCCTTTGTAGCAAAAACCTCGAAAACTCATTTGGTGATATCAATTTGCCCAATTAAGACCACAAAATGCTACCGTAAGCATTCTTCGTGTATTGCACCTGGAACAGAGCAATATGACATCCATATGCAATTTATTGTGGAAAAGAGAAACATTTTGACGAAGCAAAATTTAAAAGGACGCTGAGCGTAAAAATGTAATAAAACCGACTTTCAACACCAGTCTCGGTTTCTGCTTGAAACATAGTGTTTAAGCACGCGTTTCGAGTATGACTCTCCTTAATTGTAACCCAAATACGACATGTTAGTATCCTACAACTTCTGCCGGAAATCGTTCACCCGAAGCACGAATTCTTACACCGAAATAACAGCGACAAAACAAAAAAAAGGTGTTGAAAAATGATCAAAAATCCGTAAAATTAAAGGAAGTGCTGTCTTCACAACAAAAAGATAACATCGCAAAAATAGCAAACTATTTACTTGCTCTAATAATAGAACGCTATATAACCGTAATGTGAAAAGGCGAGTTCCCTCATTAGTCGAAACGGTTCTTTCCAACAAAAGAAACGCTGCTGGTTTTCTAACTCGGTACAGTAAAATGTGTGCCCTTTGTTAATAAAAAAACGCATCTTTTTCAAAGAGAGTTCTGTCTTTAGTTACTGTGGGAGTAAAATAAGAAAATGATTCAACGGAAAATAGCAATTTCAGAAATCCGGAAAAAATGTACTCAGTGGCAACAAAACGTTTCCTTCATGAATCGGTCTCCAAGGTGTGCTTCGGTCCTGGATCACTCAAGAGAGTGAAAGTCGATTCCGATGAAACGGAAAACAGCAAAATCCGTAGAATCACATCATTTACAATCAAGGAAATCGTGTGTCGGAAATAAAATGTATCTTTTCCAAATAAACAGTACGGGGGTTCTTCGCTGCATGATCCAGTTGATCCGGGCCTCGCTCAGTTCAGTGCCTTTTACTTAGAGCATGACAGGACGCGTTAGCCAGCAACTGAGTCAACGGGGAAATCTCACGCCTAACAAAGCTCTCTTACTAGGCTGTAGTGCATTTGAAACTTTGTAATGAAAGAGTGTATTAAAAGGAACTAAAATGTACCGAGAACGAGAGAACCTTGCAATGTTTGAGTAGCTTTAAATCTTGTGAAGGATAGCTACATAGAGTTATGGATTCATAGATCGACTGAATGAGACGATGAAAAAGGGGGGAAAAAAAGATTTCTGATCATCGATACAGCATGTTTGCTTTCAGCGAATCAAGATTTTCAAACCGTGGTCTTCTGTAACTTTGTAATAAAGAGTCTGTGGAGGTGCTAAAATGCACTCAGAATAAGACAACCTTGCAATGCTTGGGCAGCCTTATTTCTCGTGAGGAATAGTCCCATAGAATAATAGATTAATCGACTGAAACTGGAGACGACGAAAAAGGAAAAAGGTTTTGAACGACACATGTTTGCTTTCAGCGAATCACGACCTTCAAGCATTCTTATCTTCCATCGTTCTACTTTGTCTCGCCTCTCTTCGAAAAGTTGTCTGACACTGAGAAAAGAAAGAGAGCGTACATGTTGAATTTAGTTAACTTTGGAACGTCTTAAACATTCGTAACTGCAATTTCCGTTCATCTAAGTAGGAAAGATGTTAGAAAATATCTAAATGCACGTAACCTAAGGTTGCATTGCATCTGATGAGTCGTTCTGCGATCTGCTACTTTAGGCCAGACACACAATAGAGTCATTTGAAGTAAATTTTTGCAACCCTTAATGATGAATTTGATTTATAATCAATTTGCAATCACAGAAGAAAGCCCCCTGGGGCGATAGGCTTATTCAAACTTCCTATGTATTGTTGAAAAGTGTTGATAAGACTTTTAGATCGGAATTATCGTTGGCCCCTAATTCCGCTTCTTCTCAACAGTAAGACTAAATCATGTTTTATCTTCAAGTAACCTTTTTAATTGATCGCTAAAATTGGGTTCGCATCTGTAAATGGCATTTCGCTTGACTAGCTTCAGTGCCGTCAACCTTGTTGTACTGTAAGGCGTCGCTTCACTCTTCAAACGCTAACCACAGATAACTTTCGTGACAAAGTTCTTGCAAGGATACCCTACCTCCATGCTTGGTTTGAAAATTCGTGATAAAAGAAATCCCTTTCTGGCAAGGCTCTAGAAATCTAATTATTGAAATGATAAAGTGGTTTCCGCCGTCAAGAAGGTTGGTTCGAGAAACCGGCAGAACGCGGAAACGTGAAGCTACAACATTGGACAAACAAAGGGTTCGTACCCAATCACTGAGAGCCACAGTTTATTCAGTAATGGGCATGAATTTCTCTTGGTCACTCGACAGAACGTCAGTGCTTTCGCGTTCGGTAGTCTTAAGAAGTCAAAAGAATACGGCAAGCCAAGGCATATACGCATCGTAGCGAAAAATCCGCAAATCACTCTCAGTCACATAAAGCCGGAAACGGCCACCAGCCACCGGCCACCGGCCACAGACACAACACAAAACTAATTTGAGCTCTACCCAAGTTTTCTATTTTTAACAAGACCAAAAATCTCATCAGCAACAATGTAGTTGCATTTAAAATTGCACATGAAGGAAAAAAACGTGAGTGTCAAAGGCCGGTACAAAGGAAGTCGATTTGGTCCCTCCCTTTTGGGCAATTAGGAGTTTGTTTGGGTTCAACGGTTGAGTAACCAGCTTACTTCCCGGCCTAAAAAACGAAAACACAACAATATGGCCGATTCTCACCTCTTTATTCAAAAGCCACTTGGTCCTGTTTGCAATACATCTTAAGAGAAGTCACGTATCTGAAGTTCTGAACACAAGTTTAGTCTTCAAGTAGTTACTCAAATACAGGAGTCGAATAACACACGCCCCTTTACTATGAAAACGTGAGTTTACACATGCAAAGCTTTTATTAGGCTCTACGGTAAAGAGAACGCAACACCGTACATTAAATTCAATCCAAACGATAAATAAATCGCTCAATTTTCTGTAAGCATCTGGGTGAATGAGTAATTTACTTAATTTAATTATTCAAAAATAATAATACTCGCACAGAACTGACAAATTACGTGTAAATATTACGTGCCCTAGCTATCGCGGTTTAACAAAAAATGCATCGAATGTTTTGATGGCAGTATATTCTACTCGACAGATCATGCTTCCTTGCGTCATTCAAGGGTGTGTGACAGTTAAGTGTAACTATTAGTTGCCAAGCACTTGCGTCACCAGGATCCAAATTGTACCGTTCTCCCACCCACTCGGAATCTCATCAACTTGATCACGTTCATCGCAGTAAGTCTGCCGCAGTTGAGTGGGGTTTAGTAGTAACTGGAAACCACCAGGAAACCGACAGAAAGCTGTCCGATTCAGCGTTGAAGAAGCCCCCTAAATCTTAAGGCACACAAAAGCCCAGTGTTTCTGTGTTTCTCTATGTTCTCTATGCTCAAAAACTTCACGCTTCTAAACTTCGACTGACTGTTAACCGCCTCAAGAGAGAGACCAACTTCTATGACCTTATTCTAGAAATATCAGCGACAGTATCGACAAACAGAATATTGTTTGGATGTACTACCAAATTCTCAGCACTAGGATTAAGAGAATTGTATGGAAGTCGATAAGGGGAATTTTCATTGAATCGAACTTTGGAGTCTCAGTCAATGGCGAACCGAACGAAAATCCGCTTCACCTGCTAACAGAGAGCAATTTATATTTTCACCATTTCCCTAGCTTTGCTCAGTTCTCTGATAACCATTTATATCAGCATTTGGTGTTGCATCAAAAGCAAAATTAAGGTGGTGCGGAACCCTTTGTGCATGGAGGTCTCTTGCTTGTAGAAAATTGGTCGTCAACTTTTAATTCTCACTCTGAATGGCAAAGTTATCTCTAGTTAAATTGTGAACTCTTCTATGTGGTTCAGGAATCCAGTCTTTGCTAATGCTGGTTAATGAGTGAAGGATGAAATAAGGGAGGTTTCAAGACATATTTTCAATGATGTTCAAATAACTTTCCCGCCTTTCCCCTCCCTCTCGGTTTTATGTTTCCTCTTGGTTCTGTACCTCATTATTGAGAAGACTGAAACATTCAGTTAATCCTCCCCATGGTCACCAGAACATTTAAATTCTGTCACAGGCACAACGCCACTATTACTAGCACCGGAAAGAGACTAACGTATGCAAAAAGTACCAGATACTATACAGATGGGAGACAAGGAAAGGCAATTCAGTAAACTTCTACTGACTCCGATTCCCCACACCACACCTTCACAAGTGAAGTTATAAATGCCGTGATAAGGGTTATAATTCCACTCTAACCTTATTAAAAACATCATACAACTCTTTCCGACTTCAAGCACGTTATATAGCTCTAGCTCGGTTTAATCTGATTAAACCCAACTTAACTGCGAGAGAAGCCAAAGTAAGCCACATGGACCAACGTACGAGTTGCCACGACATGTCACAGAGAAAACCGGCGACATCCGCAGGGTTTCGTTTTATTAAGCTATCAGCCAAAGACAAACTTGTGCCAAAAGTGACAGCGTGTTCATACAATGAACATAACAATTCAATCCAAACGTGCATCAGATAAACAACGTTTTACTACGACGCCGCTTTGATGAGAAGCGGCCATGAGCGGATTATCTGACTACCGTTTTTCAACTTAATTTTTCCTGATTATGGTAGAGTGAAGTAGCGACAATGATCGAAAGTCATGCGTTTACTTCTCGGGTGATTTCAATAACTGAAATCAAGCAAACAGGACAAATTTGTGTATGCACGTTCTTCTCTAATGTTGTACCAAGGCTGGTCTTTCTAGATAAGCGTTAGAACAAATAATACGAGTTTTTCGTGACGCTGTGCCATTCGTGACACAGTAATAAGTAAACAAACTGTTTCCTTTTGATCAAAAAACGCAAAACTGACGTAACCTTAATGAGGGCTATACGGCGTGTGGCATCCCTTGCTCAACATCGATTTACTTCTCATCAAATGTTTTGTTTTCCTTTTGAACATTCTTAAATTACAAGTAGCCCAAAACATTCCTGTATCTCTCACGTTCTAAAATCTTACTTTTTCCGGTAGAAACAAGCAGCTAACAAATGCCAAAAGAGTTACAGCACAAGTTCCTTTTTTTCAACGAATCTATTCTGATCTCAGCCTCGGGCGATCTTCGTTAGACTTAACAACATCTACACGGTTTAACACAATGGAAAATGAGTTGACGTAAAGAAAAGTCAAAAACAAATAAAAGTTATCCGAGCGAGAAGTTATGCTCAGCTTAAATAAAAACAACAATTACAAGTATGCTGAAACACACGTTTTGAAACCGTTGAAAACAACGGCTCGAAAAATGTTTCCGTGTTGGTTTTGCGTTGACGTCAATTGTTGGCGTAAGAATAATAGCAAACGCGAGCGCAATATCAACTTTTTCACTGTTCCGACGTTACACGATAGTCAAAATTTCAATAACGACACGACAGAGAAATGCTATTTGAGATTGATCCAATGTATAACAAAGCAAGTGTATTGAAGTTAGATACATATGGAGTAGAAACGGAGAAAAGGACATTGTTTGAAATCACTGGTTCATTTAGTTTACGCTGAATCGCTGATTTAAGTTTATAGTACCACTATGAGATACGAGTACAGTTTAGGTACGTGCTATACAATCTGCCTAATCATTCAACTATTTTCGCGCTTTCCAAAAATAACTGAGTTGACCATATTTTCCCTATACAATTGCTAAGGCCAACTCAGTCATTTCCCGGTGATTCGGACGATATCTCACTAATCGAATCCACGTTAATTTACAGCTGAAATGAAATTGCAAGAACTTTTCAGAAAGGGTGGAATTTATCAGGGGGGGGGGGGGCAAAATAATTCATTCCCATACTTCAGCAGCTTTCTCGGCTACTGACACGAAACGAATATAACGGATTTTCCTGTGCGGAACCGGACTGCGCCACTCGATATCCCACGCAGCAAAACCGTACCAAGGTTTCAGCTTTTTTTAAATACGCGGAACGCGTCGATTTTGCTACATCTCAGCGGAGGCGCGACAATGAAGAGGAAAGAGATCACGTGGCGGAGTAGACCACAAGAATGGGTAGAACGAATCTAGAAAAAATACACGCTGACCCATTCGCGTCGTTCTGGTTCAGTTCATGAATTCAATAGACCAAAAGTGTTGTGGTTAGACTTCGGGACTCGCGCGCTAATCGCCGTTTTGCTAATTAGACCTAATTAGGCAAGTAACTGGATCAACTATAGATTACCGGATGACGACTTTAACATCACGTAACGAGCTCACTGAAACGTGAGAGTTTTTGTTCTAAGGGAGCTTTATCTAATCTAGTGCTTTCCACGTTACTCCGTGAATGTCGCAAGAAAAGGGCGGTGAACTATAAAAGGTGCTACATTCATAGGTTGCCACGTCACGAGCAACAGGTGAAAAGTGCCGCACACGAAAGAGGGCTTCGCGCGCGCGCTGAAAGGCTGCGTGGGAGACACTGTCACGTTCTCTCCCCAGGCTTCAGCCGTCCTTTGATTGATCAAAATAATCTAGAACAAACCGTGTCCGTTCCGTTCAGAGTTTGTAGTAGGCTATTATCCAATTTTTGCGCAAAAAGAGTACTCGAAGAGCAAGAAGCGTAAAATAAAAAATTAAAATACTGAAAAGAAAAAGCAAGGGTCAATGCCTGCCAGCAGTTACCCCATTAATCTACGGATGAAGAGATTAATTGAGTTATCTTATCTAAGAAGACAGGTACCGTTTGCTCAAGGAGTGATAAGGGTGTACAATCGATAAAACATTGTTGGATTAAGTATTTTAAACAAAACAAACTTGATTATCCGTAGATAGTGATCCATCTGGTGAATTCCGGTTTTTGAGTCAACCGAGCCCGAGCCGTGAAAATCGCAAAGGCCTGACTGACTGTTCTATTTCACGTTCAAGGAAATTTCGCGCAATAGTTTCTCTTTTTACCCAGTCGCGTGGCTGCAGCGTACGTTCCTTTTCCCACAGTTTGAATGCTCGTGAAACTAGCCTTCAATCCCGTGGCCTGTATAGGTATGTGTGACGCCAAAGGGTATGGTTTTCTGAGCCGTTTTGGTCTGTAACTTGTTATGTTTTTAGAATTTACTTCTTTATCATTGTAATCAAGACCATCAACATTGTACGTTGTAAAGTATTGCAGCCTACAACTGTACTTATACAAGCGTATAAACTTGCCTTTAACGCTGGTCTTAACAAGGGAACTGATTATAAGGCAGGTCTGAAATGGGGTATCAATTTAAGGGTCAGGTTTGAAATTGGGCATCGAGTTTTGAGTAGGGTCTAAATATAGGGTAGGGAATGGCAAATTTTGGCGTGAAACAGGTTAAAGGTTTCAAGTACCTCGCTGCATACCCACACCCAATATTTACCTGCTAATTGCTCATGTGCAAACATTCAGATACAGTACACGATTTATTTTCTCAATAACTATTAATCATGTATTCACCCTATTGCAATCTATCCATGTCATATCATGTAACTGGCATAAAATGGGCTTAAAATTGATCTGCTCCCAAAGCCGGCTTCATAAAAGTAGATCAGTTGGCAAAGTATTTGCACAGGTACCACAAAGGTCTTAAAAACAAGTCATACAAGCCTCATAGTGATGCATGTACTTATTTTCTACATACAATATATTCACAGTATTCTAAATTATACTTGCCAACACCTACACCAATGAATTGAAGAACTCAAAGGATCAGCAGTTGGAAACCACCTTAGCGAGCAACATGACAAGAAGCCAGACGACAATGAGCAAAGTTTTAAAATTAACACTGAACAAACAGTGTGATTCAATTCACACTAAATTATTTGTTTAGATCAGTTCTTTAGGGTTATTAGTATTGTTTTATTGTCTCACTGGTTTAGGTCCCCTCTTCAACTTTGTAAATATGTTTATCACTTATCTTACATATATTATTGCATTCTACTGTTTGTGATATTTTTGACTATTTTTTACTGTCAGAAACATTTATGCTTATTTCATATATTTTCTACACACACTTGAAAATGACCTTGGAGTGGTCGAAACATTATGACTTTTTATTGTTATTTATCATTACAAAATCAATTTCTAAGATATTACTTATCAAGGTACAGTATTGTAAATTACACAGTATTTGCAATGTAGCACAAAGTAATGAAATGTATTATTATTATCACAAGCATATCACCTAGGTGATATGCTTCTGTTATTATTAAATATAATGTACTGTACTATAACATAATGTAAAAGAATTATAATCAGTACATTACATTATATACCTTATGGAAATCTCAAAAAAATTTACAGGCAGAAGAGAGACCAAAACATTTGCTCATAATCAGCTTCAAACAGCTTCACAGTTGAGATGGCTGAGCCTTTGTACCAGTACTGTACAGCTCTTGGGACGTTTCAAAGAAATAAGCGGGATGTTTCTTTCTGTAACGTGAGAGGCTTCAAGTATTTCTACCTCCCTTGGATGGAATGTAGTTTCCATTGAAAGTATTCTCAAATGAGGGCTTACTGACCACAGACTGTAGAATAACCCCTCTGGTCATAGGCTCCTGTGCTCAATTTCATTTAATTTTGTTTCATACACGTTAGCTCTGGTAATTAATGCCTGCTTCTGCAATATTATGCCTCAAGCCACAGGCACTGTTTGGTTTGATTTTGTTTGATTTTATTTGGTTTTGTTTTGTTTTGTTTTGTTTTGTTTTGTTTTGTTTTGTTTTGTTTTGTTTTGTTTTGTTTTGTTTTGTTTTGTTTTGTTTAGTTTGCTTTGTCTTGGTTTTGTTTTGTTTCATTTCATTAAGTAACTAGCTTATGTAACATTAAGCCCTAAGCCACAACCAATGACCACAGACTTTTCAGTACTTTCCCAACAAGTTCTAGCAAGTTCTAGCAAGTCATAAAAGAGGAAATAATATTGTCAGTAACAATGATTACTCACTCACAAGCACTAGAGTTACAGTTGCAGCAAACACTTGTCCTCATCATCATCCTGCAGCACAAGGAATAACATGTACACTAAGACTAATTGCAATAATAAATACTGTAAAATACATTACAATTTTTAATTAACCCTTGGCCAAGTACACATGTACCAGTACATGCAACCCCACCCAATTCATTTACAATTACACATTACAATTTTTAATACTGGGCCATGTGCACATGTACCGATGCACCCGGTTGCATTGCATTGTGTGTAGCACTGCATTGACTTTTTGGAATTGAAGAAGCCCTACATATACATGCACCTCCATAGACTTTTGAGTTAACTACAGTCAAACCTCTTCACCATTTGTCACCTTGGGAACAGAGGAAAGTGCTCATTGTTGAGAGGTGGCTGTTATGGAGGGTAGGGGTGTAATATGACACCTGATCTTTTTGGGAGTACAAAAAAAAAAAAACGCTTATTTTAGCGTATTATCAATAACACAGCAACTAAACAGAAACAGAGAGCAACAAATCCTGGTACAGATCGAGTTTGGTGACCTTCTGTGTACACCATTTGTCAGTCGTTTTCATTTTAAATGCGTTTTAGTGGCCGTTGCCATTGTGGAGAGTTGGCCATTGTAGAGAGGTTGAAATAAGACTGAAACTATGGACTGTCTACTTGAACAAAAAAAAGTGGCCGTTGTAGAGAGGTGGCCATTAGTGGAGGTTCAATTTTATGCTAATTGAAAGTGACCCTGGAAGTCCAGCTGTGTTGAACAGCATAAAAACCATGCCATTTGTCTGGTCTTCTGCTGCCATCAGATAGCAATGTGATCGAAACCACTTTTCAATTCACAGTGTGTTATCCAGCTCATGTACAGTACTGGGCCAATGTGGGCAATCTCTTTTAATTCTCCAATCTTGAGAGTATCGATTGTCGACTTACATCTGTCCTGCACAGTACATTTGCGAAAGGAAATTCTCCTTCCTTGTGTTACACAAACTCACGATAAGCAAAGACTTTAGCTTAGCTAGAAGGTCAAAACTATACACTTAATCATTGGTCTCTTGGGAAACAGTTTTCCTCGACTTCATCTGGGAAACATTGAGATTTGAGGGAAAACAAATTAAACTAACTGTTTCACGAGGGACTGGTGATTAAGTGTTTGGTTATAAAGCTGGAGTTTAGCATAAAGTTGTAAGTAAAAGTAACCTATGCTTGGTGAGAAAGTTGGTGACAATTGCTTAATTGTAGCCTGCCAGGTAACATTTAGATTTAGCCATTGCCACATGACCATAAATCAACCCATGGGAATGGGCATTTGATTCAACTAAACTCCAGCTAGAAAAGCTATATACGTGTATGCCCTGAAGTATTGACTCACTAGGATACAAACTACATAGCAAATTATTTTTGTCACAGGTATAGCATTGCATTACACCTATTGGTAGGATTGCAGTAAACCCAAGAAGAATACTGGCAGAAAGCAATACTGTAGAATAACAACAACTTCAGAAACAGTTTCAAATGAAGTATTAGCCTACAAACAGGCTCCCGCCAAGCGCAGAAAAAAGAATTCAGCAAGCAAAGTGAGCAGTGCGGATGGGGGAGCCGGTAGACATTCTATATACCACTTTCGATATATTAAAATTCAGCTTGACAGTGAGGCTTAGAGGACACGAACAAAGGAAATCGAATGACCATGTTTATTCATTTCTTTGGTTTGTGTCCTCTAGGCCTCACAATCAAGCTGAATTTTAATATATCAAAAGTGGCTTGTATTGATGCTACCATTCCATGATACCAGAAACTGGTACATGATCTGATTGGTTAAATTGCTGAATGTTGACAGCTTTAATTTGCCTTTTAGATAAATATTGAAGAATCTTGATGACTGCTCAAAAATGTGGATAATTTTTGCCAAGAAAGATGGCGTCTGGGTGCAATGCACAGTTTACAAGTTTACATGGAATTCCAGGCAGATTGGAACACTGATCAGGTGAATCCTTCAACTTCTCCAAAGGCTCACTGCAATGGCTTGTTTTTAACATGTAGGGATGAGCCAAACAAAAGACTTGTCCAGCACAAAAAAAGGCAAGGCAGTTCAGAAAAAAATATTCCATGCTGTAAACAATGTCCCAGCAGGAGAGTGTTGTCAAAAGCTGTTGCATCAGTGTGGGGAAAAACAAATTTTGACAGTTCTTATTACCTTCTTGACTGATTTGTCACAAGCCAATCACCAGGGATGGATTGACGCATCAAAAACAAAGTCTACAAGCTCCCTGCCCCAAACCGTTTGCTTCGCCCACTGAGTATTTTTTCCCTGCCTCGCCAGGAGCCTGTTTGCAGGTTAATGAAGTATTGAACAGTTGTTGAACCCTACCTGAATGTATTCTCCGGAGCCAATTCTTCTGTTCTCAATTTTCATTGCTCTTTTCAGCCCATATTTTATTTCTCATTGCAACCCATGGGTTGACATCAGCTCTAAGAACAGAAGGAAGTTTTAGTGACACCTTGGTGTCTCCAAACTGTCTCGCTGTTAAACACAAATGACCAGCAGCCTTTACCATCCATTCAGTGGTGAGCATCAGAGAAGCCAAGCCATCGTCATTGTACATGTTCTCTTCACGGTCCTCGACGATGCTGACAACATCTCCATTTTTCATTTTGAGCCGTAGTTTTCTCTCTTCCCATGGTTCAGGGGAGAGGAACACCTGGATGTGATCAATACCTGATAGGGGGATATCTTCATGCACATGTTCATCAAAGATTCTAAAGTACCTTCCTTCTGAATTTGATTGCCGAAGCTGGCAGCAAAATCCAGAAGCTGAGAAGATCGAAAAGACTGGTTTATGAACAAATCCGAATTTCCAAGGCGAGTCCTGCACACTGTCTAACTCCCCAGAATGAAGTAACCCGACCAGTGGCAAAGAATTCAGTTCATGCTCTAACTTTACCACCTCATCGCGGTGTAGAGTAGTATCGTGTAGCATAAACGGTGGCCTCGTGTTTCCATCGTCTCCTAGGGACAGGATAATAACCCGTTCGTTGGTCTCGTGTTCGTAATATTGCCCTGTTCCCACGAAAAGCCGCGTAGTTTTGCTTCTCAGCTCATCGTTGGATTTGGCAGCCAGCAATTCCTTGATTCTTTCTATAGTCTCTGAGTACGAGCGTGAAAAACTTGAGCTAAATCTATTTATCTTCGAATTAGCAAGTAAAGTCCTCGAGACACAGCATAGTTTGCTCGAAAAAATCCGAGATGAGAACATGTTGTTACATAATGTAAGGACACAATTTTGCCGCCATGACATTTGAGCGAACAAGCTCCCTTTGGCCGATGGGACATAATGTAAGACCGCTGGTCAACCCTCTTTCTGAACACGGAAGTGAAAAGTGTACATGTAAGAAAGTTTTGGAAAAGGTCCCTGCAACAAAATGAATAGAATGTTAAACAAATATCGCGGTACACTAGTTGGTGCCTTGGTCGGCGATTGCCTTGGATCTCACTACGAAGGCACTCCTTTCATTCTTCCCTGGGGCGAAGTCACCGATTACACGTTAACCAAAATCAAAGACAACAAAGAGCCCATCAATTACACAGACGACTCGGCGATGACTCGAGCAATCTGCAAGTCTTTAACGGAGCAGACGAAATACGACAATCGAAGCATGGCCCAGGAGTTTGTGGAGGAGTTCTTTCGGGAACCTGGCCGCGGTTACGGCGCAGCTGTCGGGACGGTGTTCGAGCGGTTGCGGGATGAGAATCCCGACGACGTGACACTTCCAGCCCGGAGTCAGTTTGATGGGCAAGGTTCCTATGGTAACGGTGCAGCTATGAGAATCTCACCTGTGGCACTTTTCAGTCAAACTTCTGCAGAAGTGCAAAAGGTGAGTGATGACCACAATGAAAACTGACAGAAGCATAGCTACAACTAGGAACCTAATTATTCAATTTAGCGAGCACCCTGAATTGGGTGCTGGGTTTTTTTCCTGATAAGTACCCTTATTTCAATAAGCATGCCCCTTCCAATAGCCGTTGCCATGGGCCCTGGAGGTATTCCCTTATGTGGGCTATATAGGTATGTGCAGCCCTAAAGGGTATGGTTTTTTGACTGTTTTGGTCATAAATAGGGTATCAATTTTGGCCATTTTGGTTATAAATAAGGTATGGTTTTTGCACTCTAGTCTTGAATTGGGTATGTTATTATTAGAAAAAGCTACTTTTTCAGCATTATCGATAAGACCATCAACAAAAGCCCTTTATAACTTATGTTTAGGGCAACTATGGTCCTAAATAGGGTATCAAATTTTTGGTTCGGTCATAAATAGGGTAAGGGTTTTGGGAAGTGGGTTGCACACCACCACCCAACTTTTCTGGGAGTACCCCCCAGGACCATGGGTAACTTTTCTCATTTGCATTACACTATAATCAAACGTGAATGTGGGGCATTTCCAGACAATTTTCTAGTTTCTGCCCGGAATTGCCTTGCATCCATGGTTGGATTACATTGTAAAGCAGACAAGAAAAGGGCTTTAAGGCCCCTTTTACCATAGTGAGATGTAGACTTCAGAGACCTTGGAATAAACATGAGAATGGTGTTTTGAGTGTTGCTGGACCATTGTTACATTTCTTGGGTTATTTGTTGAGAGCTATCTAAGACCAAATAAGCGTCCTATTCCAACATGTAATAAGCACCTTTACCTTGTGCTACCAAAAGTAAATTAGTGCCCCTTGTACTAAATGGAATCATTACACAGTAGTTAGGATGTGAAATCAGAAAACATGATTGTATAAAATAGTGCGGTCCGGTATGTCCGCAAAATCGCTCCTGTAGGACTTTCGTGCCGAAATTGAATTTTTCGCTATTTTGGACTAATTTTGGGTAGAATAATAAGAATCCGATGGGGTTCAAATTTTCCGATCCCATCTTCCCATGTTTCTGGCTCCTCAATGACTAAATTTATGCTAATGTATGCTAATTGGATGCAAAAACAGGTTTTGCGAATGTCTTTGCTCTTAGATTCAAGGTAAAGGGACCAAACTTTACACGAAGCTTGCTCTTGATGACGTTCATCGTATGACTTAGATTGGTTGCCATGGCAACCAGCGATGATGTCAGGATTAACTACCTACTATTTTGGTGGCGGCCATCTTGGATCTGCCATCTTGGATTCTCGAACTCTCGTACTTCTAAAGGAAAACAGTGCATTTTTAATAAACTTTTAGGGTAGGTTTCTTTCAGAAAATCCAAGATTGGATTCTTAAATCCGAAAACGGATTTTGCATTTCTTTTCTAAACAGATTAATCTAAGATCTATCGGATCAAGGAACCGAAGAATCCACTCTGGGCAAGGATTTTTTGGTTCCTTTGATGCATCATGATCTGAGTGATCTCGGATTGATCTGTTTAGTAAAGAAACGCAAAATTCGTTTGCGGATTTAAAAGTCCAATCTTGGATTTTCTTAAGGTCATTCCAATGAAACAGAACCTGCACTGAGATTTTTGTCAAACTTTGCCTATTGATTGTTTATATTATAGGAACTTAAATTTTGAAATAAAAATGAGAGGTCCCCATGTTCGTTTAGGAGCAACAGCACCTTGTTTGTACCTAATAAATCCTTATAATAGCACCATGATTATAGTCACAATTGCTTGCTAACTTCACGTTTCCAACGATTGTTTCTTGTTCTACACTGAGAATTGGTTCATATTTATTTTACACAGAGAAATTTATTACTCAGTTCAAAACAACAGAAAAAAATGATAGGTCACCGTACTCGTTTTCGAGGAAATATCGATTTACTTCTATGGCGAGGACCAGCCGTAAAGGAAAAGCCGCCATTTTTTAATGCGCGCGCACTAATCACATGTGAAATTATGCGCAGCAGGGATGCGCAGTGCAATATTGGGGAATGATCTTAACAAATAAACGCACCCTAAGTAACGAATGATAACATATGCTGCTGGAACTGACGAGTTTCTTTTCAGGGCTTAAAATTGCGAAACACGCCTAGAGTTTGGAGTTTTACGGCTGTTTTTTTTTTCTCACTTAGGCCTGGTTTAGACGTCGAATTTCATATGCGCCGAATCAAATACCAATTTGAGTCGCTTGGAATTAAACACATGCGGCATTTGATTTAGACGTGGCATTTCACATGTGCCAAATCATGAGCGCAGGAAGCACAGTGATGGGCATAATAAAGTTTAGTTTTTTCCTCCCGATGGCATGTTTGAAATGGAAATTATTTAGGCAAGGCTAATGCAGAGAATGGTGAACATCTGGATAAAATGAAACACTCTATTCGTATCTTCGTATCCTTTAAAGGAGCCCTCCACGAGCGCAGTCCAGAAATGGTTAACATCTATGACGAACCCTGGTACTCTGAAATGGTCAAACCACAAGACCGTGAAGAACAAGGACTTGAAATCTTGCACAATTTATGATAGAGTATCTCAAGTAATTGCACAACCTGTTACAGCTCATTCATGCTTGCCGCTCTGGGGACTGGGAACGCTACCTGGCAGCGATGGAATGCCTGATAAAGTACTTCTTCTCGCACGATCTCTTCAACTACGCTCGGCTAATGCCAGTCCACCTCGCGCAGATTAACGCACTCGAGCAGGAGGACCTTATGACATATGAGGCATTGAAGTCCGAGGATTTTGTAGCGAAGTCAGAGATCCTGTTCATGAGGTTGTTCACAGATCAGACGCTAGAACAGGAGCTCAAGGTATTAAAGCGCCACGGAGGTATGTTCGGGTTAAGTCAAGACGAAGCCGCCCTAGATCACCTTGTCATGTCACTGCATCTCCACTGTATGGTAAAGCAATGAAACGCTTTCCTAAAGTGTCCAAGGCTTCTGAGCGGAACGAGCACTATCAGCTCTCTTGCGATGTTGCCGTAAGAACGCGAAAAAACGCAATGAAACTCCGCCAGTCGATACAGCTGCACTGCAAAGGCAACCCATTTACAGTTAAGTCTGCCTTGAAGAGTGTGTTGTCGTCAGCTCTTGTGCCTGAAAAAGCAAAGGAAGATATATCCTGTGCTACACAGAGAAGGGCCAAAAGCGATTTGAAGTATTTTTTGAAGACAGACTGTTGCATTCTTCTAAGCACTCCTCATGGGACGTTATGAAAAAGCTGAGACTGGTCACTTTGTTTGCCAATAGATTATTAGCGCACTTCTCCAGCAACACAACCATCAAGCTCGTCATGGTTTACAATAACAAAATCAAATGTAGTTTGATTTTGTTGCGCTCATCTAGTGAACGCAACACCTGCTGATCCCTAATGCTTGTCTCTCCCTGCATCCCAAGTTGTTGTTGAGCTTACCAAATGCGGCTGCAAGTCAGACTGCAAGGGACTCTGTAGCTGTTTCAAGGACAGAATTCCATGCACTCCTCTTTGTTAATGCTTTGGAAAAACCTGTACAAATCCATTCACAGACGGCAAACGAGTTGATGACGAGGATGGTCTTAGTGCGTAAGCACTTAAGTCACATTTTATGCACGAACACTTTTAACGGAGCTGTACATTAGTATTATACATAACAGAAAGAAGACGAAAAGCGTCTGCGTTCTTACTATGGGACTAGC